ACCAGAAAAGTTTGTTGTACGACCAGAGAATTCGTTGTACGACCAGAGAATTAATAGAGAGCTTTTTGATTTGTATTCGTTAACTTGTGGTCATAATCCAGTTTAGTTAAATTCGAATTAAATTCTGATAAGCATTTTATAAAGCTTTATATGTAAGTGCGCGAATTATTAATGTAGTTTACATTACGTTCAATATATCACTCAAGATTTGATTTTCATATTTGCTTTCTTTTCGCATCTTGTCTTATTAGATTTTCTATAGTGTTTGTATTCTTGATGAGCGTAGAATTCTAAATTGACGCCCGTTGCCGCATATATGCTACGGTCGGATGGGAAATAGAAAGATCATCCACATATTTATGACAGTTGATGATTTAAAACCCGAATGTTTGTCAATGCCCGCCAAAACAGGTTTGCAATGGGTATTTAATTTGTATATATTTAAATCAAGTAGATGCGTTAGGTATAGATTGACGCATTTCTTCGTCACGTCCAGAATAGCCATCAAAAATATGGACATGGGTACCCAAGTAGGTGAAAGTCTTGATCAAATTTTCGCAAGCGATATATATCTTTCATTAATTGCAAATTTTGACAAATTTTTATTCATACTCAACATTTTCGTCCAAATGTATAACAGTAGTACAATAATCAATAAAAAATGATGTCTAAGTGGTGGTTATCCAAACTTCAGAAGCGATGTGAGTAGACTATTGTAAGAAAGCTTAGTTTTTCTATGTAAATGATATTCATTTGTATTACCTACACCTGCCGCTAGCTTTTGTATTATTTTCGCTTTTCAGGCCGGCTGATGTAGCTAGTCCCGATTTAGCTATTATAGAGGATGATCTCAACTTGGAGGAATTAATGAAACAGAAAGCTCTTCTTCAAGCTCGATTAGGTGCTTACATGTCTGATACTGAAGGTGACGACAGTCGTTCGCAGCGTGAAATGGAACATACTCTACCTGTGAAATGTACTGAAAGTAGTGTAAGCAACAAATACAGCAAGCGTAACGAACATACCACCACTGCAAATAGTAAACATAATTTAAATAGAATTTCTAAAGATAATGAATCCGATGTTATATTATTGGATGATTCTAGCGGTGATCGTTGCACACCGGAACGATTTGACAGACAGCAGAACACGGTAAGGCAAATGGACGAAAGTGGCGAGAAGAGAACAGCTCATGAGACATCACCGTTGTATGTAGATAGACTAGCAGATCGACAGATTCCGATAGTCATCATCGTAGCTCATGTACAGAACGGCAGGACATGGAACGGCGCGCAATCGAGGGAATAGGGATTCGTTGTTGCGTTATCATTGCAACATACGCTGTAGCTAATTAGAAATTGACCGCAAAGCGCTTTGGCTCCATTTAAGTTCGCTTTGGTGTTGCAAAGTCGCTGCTGTGACATCTGGTGTACCAGGCGAAATTTTTGTATGATATTGGTTTGGATGATATGCCAACACCACATTATCTACATAATCGACATTTAATATGGATATCAGAGCATTTGCCGCATCCTTAACACACTCTTTGGAATTTTTATTCATAAACAATTTCACTCCAATACTTATTTCATTTCGGGCATTTTCCGTAATTTTTTGTTTCAATTCTGCATTAGCACGCAACAGTTGTCCATCGCTTTCGCGAAACTCGATTTGATCATCAATTGCTAGTCGAGATTCCTCGCCTTCGGCTACTCAGGCGGATAACACAGTAGTCCTAGAATGTATTTCTTTGACTAAATTAGTTATAAGAACAACTATATGGTATTCTTATGATAGAATAGAAAGACTTTACTAAGGCATATTTGATTTGCATATAACGAAAGAGTATTTAGCCTACTAACCAACTACTACTGCCAACTGTACAACTAACCTAAGCCATTTATGTTTTTAATCTTTTGTTCCATCAAAGTCCGGCCATAGGATATTTAGGAGAAATCAATTTCAATAACTTTTGATACAAACTTGTGTTAAATGTTTATAATTAGGTCCAATTAAAGTCGTGTCATCCACGTACAAATGGTTTCGCCCCGTTGTCCTCAAAATGCGTGTCTTCGCTGTATACAGTAAGTCTGTAACAATCTGTAATTTTCATTAGGTACTCTAGGGAATCTGCATAACACATATTCATTATCAAGCGGGTATAGTAAGATAATTTTGGGAAAGCAAAGAATTGGCTAACGGAACATGTGCTGTATACACAGCCGCTTTGTGATTGAATGAAATGGAACTATATATAAAGCCAGTAATTCTTTCAATATAATCAATGCAAATATAAAATGGGTAGGGTTTGCTTTATACATTTATAATTATTACTAAACTGTATAAAGTGAAATAAAGAAAACAAACAAAAAAAAAACATTTTCATTAATGATGGGAAAAATCGCTGCGCAAACTAAAATAAGTTAAAACATTGCAGTCGGGCATAACCGACCTGTTAGGCACTCTACGTTATTATTTATGCCTAAAAACATCAAAAGTCGAAGTCTTTAACAATTGAAAGCTTATTTTTAATGGAAATCTTTATAGGGAAGAAAGATCGAAAGTTATATTAATGTAGTCCGGAGTTAAATATGGCAAAATTTTAATATCAAGCATTTGGCTTGCTAGTCGAGATTCGTAAGACCATAAAAAATGCGAAAGATGTGAGTAACGAGTTTGATGGGAATGAATGAAAGTTATTGATAACTATCAGTAGTAGTGCAATTAGCACTTTTTGATTATTGGCATATAAAAACTTTTCCGTTTTTCTACTCAAACGAGCGAAAAATTTCTTACTAAATTATTCTGCTTTTTAATGAAACAATTTTTTACATAAAGGGAATATTCTTATCATTCCTATATCAAGAAATTGTCATTAAACTTAGCAATATTATTTAGTACATGTTTATACGCATATCTTGGGCCGTCAAACATGAATAACGACAATGGTGTCAATTGTAACTCATATATTATTTTGTTTTAAATTACAAGGGCCATAGAATTTAGTCCGGTACATATCACACATTTTTTAAAGATATATTGAAGAAAGGCGACCATACTTTGTTATTAAAACCTTTCATCAAACTATTTGTTCTTCTGTACGATGCAATTGCCTAATTGCTTTTCAAATCTTCTCACAGATATTCTCTAATAAGAAAGCTTACATATCTTCCAATAACAGGATAATGCTAAATATGTAATTCCGTTTATAACAATTGCCGTATTGTCGTAACTAAGTCTTCTTGTAACAATGCCGAGTGTGGTAGAAAAGTTAGAAACGGCAGGTACATTCCTTGGTCATAGGTACAATTCAAGCGTGAAAATTTTCGCTGTGCAAGTACAAATGCGATCGAATTAATTAGAAATATTTTTAGGTCTATCCCCCCACTCCCTCATCCCCAATCTATATTAAAATAACAATATAAACTTCAAAATAGTTTTCATTTAGTTCTAGTTCAAGAAAAAGTCTCTAAGCGCTTAAAACTTAGTTGGTCAGTTTAAAGCGAAGACTAAGAAACGGTCTGAACTGTAGATTGGAGACTGAAGATCTCAAAGATGTTGAAGGAAAAAATCCGGAGCTTTTCGATGATGTTCTCTCCCTAAAAGATGAAAAGAAAAATATGAATGAAAAAATTAACAAAGTCAAAAATTCGGGAGAAAATAATCTCGCAGAGTGGAAAAAATATGTAGAGAAGAACAATCACGTTTATCCGGAGGAAAAAGAACGATAAGATTTGTGAAATAATAAAAGTAAATTTAAAACAAAGCTTACAAGTGTTTATACATCGGTTTCTACAAGAAACACTTTGCAATAAAGTGAAAATGGAATCGCGAGAATAGCGCGGATGACTAAGTACCAATTGTTAATTTCGTATTTGACTCTCTTGATAGTGCGTCTATTGAAATGAATTTGTGAAAAGTGGTTAATCGAATTCGAATAATTTGCAGGTTTTGAAATAACGCGATTCGCCAACAAAAACGAACGCACTTTTTACACGATTTTTGTTTTAACAAGTCCCAACAAATTCTTTGTTGAATTGTAAATTTTGTATAGCTGGATTTGAAGACTTTTTCACATTTTGCACTCAAGCAACTTAAGGGCTTACACCGCACTCTTCTCTTTTGTTTAAAGCTTGCCATCAAAACACATAAGTATTCATAGCCAAACTACGAAGTTGTTGCCTCGCAAACATGACTTCTTCTACTTTGCAACATTCCACCTCTTCTAAGATATCTACATACATACAGTTTTTACAGTATGGTTTTAAATGGTACTTATATGCTAAATGATACTTATATAACAAATAGTACTTCTTTGTTATAACATTGTTTATATTGTTATGTCCATGGGTTCAAATATGATTGGACTTTGCTCTAGGCCTAGTTGTTGCTTTTTCTTCCATTAACTCGTTAACACTTTTTGGTGCAAACTTCCATACCCATATATATCACCAATGCGGATGATATTCTCTTAAACGCGAACTTCTACGTAAATCGCAAAATACCACTTAAATCCAATAATAATGATGTCATCTGCAAAATCGAAATCTTGGACAATTTATTCTCGACACTGGTTGCCATTAAACAAGTGGTTGCTACAGCCACTCCTTGTAAATAAGAAATACCTAACGAAACGTCATGTTTTTGAAATCCATGAGATGCTTGATAACTCTTCATTCAATATCATTTTGTTTTTTCACAGTTTTACACAATGGCTTCTCCATAATGATGTTATCTCTATGCAATGAACTTAGGAAGCTAACTGAGATTTTGTTTCTTAACGTTTAAAAGTTAAAAACAATACCTATTGGGATAGGCAATTGTTACCAAATTTATTTATTAAGAATTATATAAAAGTAATTTCAATTTCGCCGAATTTTAGACGATCCAAACAATCAGCTTTTTGTATTTGACCTATTTTTCCGCCAATTTGCTTAATCGGTGTATTTGAGATTTGAACGAAGTTCGGCGATCCTTGTCGAAATTTCGCTATGTTCATCCATTTCATATTTACCATCTACAACTGCCACGACTGACTGCCCCGTTAGAAGTAGATTTTTCTAATACTTTGGCTGCGCAGTCGGCATTTTCCAAAGAGCTACGTTTATCCCACGCACATGTCTTTATTTTGCTTGTGGAGTATCCTATAAAAAGTGGATCTGCCACTCATTTTTGTAGTTTTTGCAGGCAATAATTTTACTTTTGGTTTTATTTCATTAATGATTTTTAAGATGTACAAAAAGATGATGTCGGATTAATTTAAACCAGAAATTTCCGAAAAAATTACGCCGCAAAAAAATTCACTAGGAGAGCGCTCACCACAGGCTATGTAAAGAGAGGCAGACTGACCAAGGACATGTTGATTAGTAATTTAATAATGGTCAAACATGTAAATATCCTTCCTGCAAAGTTCTTTCTCTGGGTTAATATGCAGCGATGGGCTAAGATATCACCAATTGGTAAAGAATTATTATTAAGGACTTCCTTACTTTTCCAATAATTTCGTAAAGAAACGATGGACAAAGAAATACAAAAGGACAAACAGGCAGATTGAAAGGCAAGCAAAAAATAGACAGGGAACAAACAATTAGACAATAGACAACCGACTAACAAACCGACAATTTTTTTTTGCTCAGACCGCTATTTATATAGTAATAGCTGATCTTACAAATCATAAAGATATTAGAACTTTATGTATTATTGTTGGAACTTCATCTGGGATAATCCATTTGTATTCATCGGTCATTTGCGGCATCTTAAACTAACTAAGCGAGCACTAATTTTATGTGGATAGAATCTAAGCCTTTAATTTTTAAGCAATTTTTTCTCTGTAAGTCTCAGTCTAAATCTATAAATCAATAAGTCGTTGGCTTTAAAGGGAACCTTTAGAGGTTGATGATTGCTGTAAACTGTTCTTTTTAAAGCACAAGTGTTTTCTAGATGTTGATGAAAGCTATAGGTTCATCGGGTCACCATCCCCCTATAATAGAAGTACCATGTAAAATTTAAAAATAAATTAATTAAAATTTAATAAAAAAAATTAAACTCTGTTTCATTTATGCTATGTAATATTATATTATGCATCATTTATATTTTTCAGTTTCTATGAATTGTTGTGTATTTCTAGGCGTAGGCTTTTAATGTAGATTTTTGTGGAGACGTTGTAGGTCAAATTCAAATGAAATTGAATGGTCGTCCATGATCGAGTACAAATTCTTGATTACTCTTATGTAGGTTTATTTTTTTCGATTCTGAAGAATTAGGGGCTGATTAAAAGCTTAAATGTAGCATAAACTTCTTGGCAAACAATACAAATCTTGAAAATTTAATTGCACATTTGTACATTTATTGATTGGTGGGTGGATTTCACTTGTTATAGAAGAATTTTTTACCAAAGCATTTTCTTGATTAACTTTTTTATGGTTTTTATTTATCCGAATTCGAGGTGCGTTGCCATGTTTTCGTTATGGAAAATTAATTTATTTAGCTTAGAAAATAAAGTTTTCGTATTAAATTTTACTCTATGTTGATAATTGGTCTATTCCAGTTTTCATGCTTCTCTTCATGTTCATCATTATTAATTACAACAAATATCTTATTATATATAATATATATAGTTTTTATTATTGTCTTATATAAATTATAATATAAACTTTAGAGAAACACTCCACCTTATGGGGCAAGGCGACGGAGGAACGGAGATTAGTATAAAAAT